CACATGCTCAGTCTAGCAGTTACATCCTTTAGGACTCGGCCAGCTCAGTCAGTATTAGTGTCTCTGATTCACTTTTGATGATAGGCATTGAAATGTCCCACCCAGAGTACATTCTGTGCCCCTGTCACCCTCAGTGCTTCCTCTGTAGTGTCCAACATGGAGGAGTACTGATAAAATCAGCCAAGGGAGGCCCATGTTTGAATTAATGCCATGAGACCTCATGGGCTTTGCAGTTAAATGTTGAGGAATGCAAGAGTAACTATACATAACTGTGTCACCAGCTCTGCTGGGTCTGGGTCTTTTCTGACAATAGTGATAGTAGTATCTCAGACATTGTAAAGAATGGTCACTGGACTCTCTTTTCTCCAGAAATGCTGCCAGACTTGCTGAGTTTCTCCAGTAATTTCTGTTATTGTATATAAGCCTCAATTCTACAAGTATGACCAAGTCAGGCTGCTGCTTGACTAGTTTGTAGGACAGTTCTCCCAATTTTGGCCCCGGTCCCCAGATGTTGGTAAGGGCTATTAAGAGTCAACCATTTGCTGTACATCTGGAGTCATAAATAGTGTCACAATGCTGCGGCTTTGAGAGGTTATTTTGTCCCTGTTTCTTTTAATAGAGAGATTAAATGAGAGGCTCCAAGCTGGCTAGGGAAGACCACATGAGTAAACTGCTTGGGAGGCCTTGGGTTTTTTTTTAAAAAATCTAAATGAGTATGCCTGACTTTCTCAGATCAGGATTTCTGGGTTTTGGATTTTCAGTAGCAGCGGAAACGGTTAAAGTCTTCAGTAAATTTCTCCTGGCTGCTACTCTCTCTGAATTTTCTCTTGATGTTTTCTCCTGCTGGACTGGAGAACTGCCCATCTGAATCTGTGTCTGAATGTGCCTTTTTGCCAAAGGGGTGTTTATGGAATGTTACTACATTGGAACAGTTAATTAATAGTGATTACTATATCTATTATTCTGTTAAGTTTTCCAACAGAGGTTGGTATTCTAAATTCCTCTTTCTTTTGTTTGTATTTTAACTATAGTATTTAAATAGTTTTGGCTAACTTTGAGTAGTTTGACCAGTTGCATTGCATCTAAAACACGTCACTTCATATTTGCCTTTAAAATAAAAATAAGTTAGGCTCTAGGCTACCTTCTTAAAATATTTTGAGCGGGTCTGGACCATAACAATAGGATAGACCAGGCAAGGATGACAGATTTCCTTCGGTAAGGAAATTAGTGAACGAACACTTTTTTACAAAATTGACAATGGCTTCATTAGCCTAATTCATAAGTCCAGGCATAACATCTGCCAGTTTGGGTTTGGAACTCATGTGCCTCAAGCATTAACCTGAATTACTAGTCCAGTATCATTATCACTATGCCACCATCCCCACCAACATAAATACAACATAGGTCTTCAGTAAGATGTGGCATAGTGACCCCCTGAGAAATCCCTGGCTGCTTTGTCAGATCTGCCTGTCCCTGAAGAATTTTACTGTGCCTGATGCTGGATTTGATTTCTCTCAGCAAAGGACAGCCATCTGGCTGCCTGCTTAGTCTGAAATAATGTGGAATACACAGAGACTCCAGAAAATAAAAATCCGCAAAAGCCTTTATAATAATATTTCTTGGCTGAAAATGATTACAATAACCAAGCAATGTGAACAACTTTTACCATAGTTAAATAGACCAAGTTTTATTTGCCACATTTCAATTACATACTGAATTACTTATACATTTGTAAAATTGGATTATGCAACCTTTATGTGTTGTGTTCATCATTCTTACCATAGGTAAGTCAGGCAATCACATAGGAATTGCATAGGAGAGAGAGAGCCTGGTCCTTCAGCTAGTGCTTGTCCTTGCAACGCATAACCTGCCCGTGTAGAAGTGGCCTATCTTTTGATTTCACTGGATGAAGAAATTTACAAATGAAGACTCAAAGATGCAGTTTATCTAGAAAGTTACGATGTATTTCACTGTGGCAATGAACTCGGAATAAGAAATTCATAGCAATTCTTGTTTAACTGATATTAAATAATTGGCATTGAGGCAAATTTGATTTCCTGGTCTTCCCGAGGGGCATTTACATCAGATAAAATGCAGAAATGGCAGAAATGATACCTACCTAAGAAGAATTCAGCAGTTGTTATCTAGAGTGCTACCCCATCAATTGCTTAACAGAGCATTACTAATACCTATTGATCTGGAATAGCTAATGTCTCCTTCTGATTGCTGTACATTTGAAAGTCTGGGAGAAGTTAAAATGCATGAAAATGCTAACCAAAAATCATCCAAATTGAGGCCAAAAGTTAAATACTAAGACACAGGGAAAGTAACTTTAACATTTATGACCATCCGAAAGAATAACAGGAAGTAAATTGAAATTAGAGAGGCACTACCCAATCTGAACCACAAGTCATACGCTGCAAGGACAAATATCTCCTAAAAAGAACAGTTCTCCCTCGGTTTCTTTTTGCATGTTATTGGTCAGATCAACAGCATATAAAAGACTAATGAAAATACCAGCAGAATGTTTGACACATATTGTTAAACTATAATTTTGATGATTTTAAAGAAAATGAATCATGCACATCATTCCCTCAGGCTTGATGTAACGCAAAAGAAATATCCCTAATCCAGTCCTTTCCAACTTGTTCCAATTGTGATGCAACTTTGATGCTCGAAAATTGCTATGAGTCCAAAGCTGTGACAGGGAAGGGGTGGCCTTTTTACAGGGAAGGTGGAGGTAGGAGCTGTTTAATCCACAAAGCTTTTAAATCTAAACACACACTTTTCCATGGGGAATTGCAATACACCAAATCAGGCCTGCCAGTTATACCACACCCACAATAAAAAAAAACTGAGGATTTGAAGAGGCACACAGTTGTTCACAGTCAATCATAACTCAAGAACCCAAAATTTCTGCCTGCGATCCCAGCAGGCATTGCTACCCACAATTTTCAAAAGCCTGCCCTAATCCGTAGTGTACTGCAAAAAGAGACGATTTGGAAAAGTACCAGGCATGCTGTTTATGTTAAAATGGCCTTTGAAACTTCAATTCATTCATTGAAAAGGAGGGTCTGATTTTGTTCTATTTGTGGACATTGCAATAAACACAATAAATCTTGCACATTGTGGAAACAGAAACACAAATGACCAGTCTGCAGAAAGACATTCTAATGCACTTCTGCCTGACAATGCCTTTCATTTGAAGCCTACATTAACCTCTGCACTAATTTCTGAACAGCCTACATTCCTATATCCACAAGAGTTAAGGATATTATAACATATTTAAACAATCAACTAAATATTGCAAATATTTAGCAGAATCAAACAATAAAACTGGTTAAAAATAGTTAGTCTCTTACATGTTCATCAAGTTCCACAAAAAAAATCAAAGTTGTATCCTATAGAATCGGTGGTTGTTACTTTGGCCAAATTAACAGCTTTGATTGTCAATACTGAAAATTTGTGCTCATGTATTCTTTACACCTTCATGAAGAAGCCAGTGCAACAATTTACACTGCAGTCATAGAATGCAGCTAAATCCACACAACTCATTGTAGTCACGTACCAAAAAGTTGCAAGTGGATTCTACTGCTAATATTTGCACAGGAACATCAATGCTAATATCCAAGGTTACCACAGCAGTTTGAATCCCAAATTTTAACAAGGATTTTTAGGGGGAATTTTTTTACATTTTAACCAGCAAACAGAACTATCTCTGGACTTGGGCAAATAATATCCTAACCTCACTTCTGAATGTAAAGATTTAAATTTTCATATATTTCACAAAAAAGAAGGATCAATATACAAAGTTCCTTTGTTAAAAAATAGAACTACACCAGCTTCCAAACTGCAATCAGTTTGCATACTAATTTGCATGAACTGTACTCAAACATTGTAGGTCTTAAACGAACTGTCACAATGCAAAGAAATGTTGGAAACATTCAGGAAGTTTATGAGGTTCCCTAATTTGCGACTTATTCTACTTTTTCCCCAAATAAACTATTGATTGAAAGGGAATATGCCATAGTTCAAAAAGTTTTAATTAGATATGCGCTTATATACATTTTTTTTCAGTATCACCAGTTCAAAGTGGAATTTCTGCAGAATTCAGACATCATCTGTTAATTTTTGATCTCCTTCAATATCACAAGTATTGTACATGTCAACTGAAAAGAAAACCAGCATGCATTCATCATAGTTAAGAACAGTGACAAACACAGTACTTTTCAATCCAAATGGATGGAAAATGATGGTAGAGGTTTTAGCAATGTTTTTTTCTAAAACGACATTTTATAAATCATACCATACTGGTTTCATGCATATGCATTACTCTATTATTTGACAGGATTGTTGTGTCAGCGCATGGCTTCAGGAAACTGCTAGCTCGTATGGTAATCGCTGCAGTGTACAATAGACATAAGTGGCACCACCACAGCAATATTAAAGAATTTATTTCTAAAATGTGGATCTACATAACGTTCCAAAATGTAACCAAAAAGCTCCTGTACTAACTTTCATACACTGCATACAAAAATAATATACTTAAACAAATGAACTTGCCTCAAGTAAGGAACTATGTGAAATGTTTCGGAAGGGAAAAATTGTTTTCTCATCCTTGAGAACTACATCACAATTTTTAAAAAGTGAAAAATACAGATTGTTTTGGTAAGCCTACTTTGTCAACAAAAATGACTGCCGTCTCTTTTTCAGAAAGGCTGGAAATCAAGCATCCTTAAAAATAGGTGGGAAGAAAAATATTTGCTGAGTACTTTGTAGATGAACAGAAACCTGCAAAATACTTAACGATATCTTTCCTTACATGAGATAACAAGGTGTAGAGCTGGATGAACACAGCAGGCCAAGCAGTATCAGAGGAGCAGGAAGGCTGACGTTTCGGGCCTAGACCCTTCTTCAGAAAATTCCAATTTCTGAAGAAAGGTCTAGGCCCGAAGGGTCTAGGCTCCTCTGATGCTGCTTGGCCTGCTGTGTTCATCCAGCTCTACACCTTGTTATCTCAGATTCTCCAGCATCTGCAGTTCCTACTATCTCTTTCCTTACATGACCCTGCTTTAAATTTTTACCTCACAGATGTTTACTGATTTATATTGGCTTCTTCATAGTTCTGGAGCACCAAATACTGCATTTTAAATGACTTTATTATAAACTTTAAAAATAAATTTAGAGGAATGAATCATATCGTTATTCAAGACATTTGGCACTGTACGTTGGAGAAAAATATTTAAATATCACTGCTCATCTGTTCCACCGACAAGGTACAATTTTCAACATTTCTCTCAGGCGATTTATTTCAGTTTCCCCATGTTGTAACTGGTTTTCTATTAGCTAAGTACCTACTGAAATAGAGTGTTTATATATTTTCATTTATAGCTGCACCTTGAAATTTTGAGTGTCTCTGCATCTTCACTAACCATACGGGGATAAAAGCATTAATTCCTATTTGATGATTCACTTCAGATAAATACTGTTTTTTTAAACCCATCAAGTAATTGCTTACAGTTACCTAAAATTCCAGCATGGAGATTATTTGCATCCAATGAACTTTGAATACATTAAAGTACCAGTAAATAACTATGGACAAAATGGTATACTAATATAAATATAGATCCTAATTTTCAATTTTAAGCACTGATTATAGCCCTCAAAAGCAGTCACAAAATTTATGTGCAAGTGTTCTTTAAAACAAAACTACCAACATGCCATTCAAAATATGCACGTTTTACATACAGACAGTAAGATATAACAATGCAAATTAAACTTCTGATCCTGCCTGGAACATATTGCCAGGGAAGGTGGTGGAAACAGATATGATAGCACAGTTTAAGAAACGTTTAGCTAGACACATGAACAGGCAGGGAATAGAGAGACACGGACCACGTGCAGCCAGATTAAATTAGTTCAGAATAGCATCATGGTCGGCACAGACATGGTGGGCCCAAGAGCCTGTTACTGTGCTTTATTGTTCTATGTAAAGACACAGCCAAAAGATAGTACTTTTATATAACATAAAAACTGATATCCAAATTGATGTGTTAAATGGTATGTTGAACTTTGTTAAAGGAACTAAACAAAATCTAACTTTAATCCTGTTGCATAAAAATGTAAAACAGAACAAAATCAGGTGTCTCTTCATTGTCCACTGTTTTTGTTTGGCTTTAAGATCAGAAAAGACAAATTCTATTTTTCTCAACAACTCTTTCAGCTTTAGATGTTTTCTTCAACAATGTTATCAATTTACATCAGAATATAATGTAATATTATTAAAGACAGATGTGCATGAGTTACTTTGTCATTCATTTAGATATTCAAACATCTTGCGCAACACATTTCACTTCTTAATGACTACAGAATGAAACAGAATTACCCAAAATCTAGCTGTAACTTTGAATGACTCTGGTTGGTAGTCCAGCATAAATAAAAATCTCAGTTCATTTTAAGTCAGTTACTTGCAAACTGGACTGGCTCAGTAATTGCATACATTGTTGCTAGTGTATTTTGCCCAGCTGAATCTTCTTCCAGGCTTCAGATGCTGTAAAAATGCAAGAGTCTATGATCCCAGCAACTGTAAATGTTCCTCCAATGATTGCACAAATCTGGGGGTGAAAAATTGTATGGATCAGATTATGCAATTTCAAATACTAACATTTCTCTGCACGAAATTCACAGACATGATATTTTTAAAAAGACTCAATATGAACATTTATTTCCCCCAATACAAGTAGATTTTGCAGGTTAAATGAATTTGTGCATCTATAATCAAAAAATTTTACTGAATCAAAAATGTACTCTAATCCAAAACTGGCATATACATCAAGTTAAAGATAGGTGAACACACTCTTTACAAAATGACATCAGGCATCACCTCCCTCCTAAAAGGTAGACTATGCAAACACGACAGAGACACAAAATCAATTATGAGTAGAGGCTGAGATAACACAGTGTGGAGCTGGAGGAACACAGCAGGCCAGGCAGCATCAAAGGAGCAGGAAAGCTGACGTTTCGGGTCAGAACCCTTCTTAGAGGCTGAATTTGTCTGTGAATAATAAATAAAACAAGAGGCAATGGAACAATTTGGCATGGTTTCTTGGTAGACCACATGAAGAGTCAGCAGAACACATCCCCACTGATCACTGTGGCTCCTTACCACTCAAGTGGTGGCCACTGCCAGGCTACAAGTAGTCTCACTAGCCTAAGCCAGAACTTCCAGAGCCACAAAAGTATGGGTCTCAGGGAGAGTGAAGGGAGATCCAGGAACTGGGATAACAAGGCCAGGCAAGGAAGGGGCATCCAAGAAGACTGGTGCGAGGGATGTGCCTGATATGGAAAGGAGTTAGTGAAAGATGCTCTCCACATTTCCCTCCTGTGGCTCAAGCAAGGTGATCTGCCCAGCCTCTCCTCAATCTGTCGTGTCCTTCAACTCCTCTTGCCAAACAACTGCAGCACACCAAGGTAGGGCTTCAATCAAGGTAAGGCCTTGTGAGTCACTTAAGCCTCACTTACATTCCCCAAAGCTCTTAAAATTACAAACAGATCAAGGGAAGTAGGAAGGCAACAGGATGGCCACTTGAGTATTTTACCAGTACTAATGTCTGCACACCTGCCAGTCAGAGCTCACAATGAATTATAACCTATTTCATTACAAATCTACCAACATAATGTTATAATCTCAGTTCATATTGTTATTACTGGATAAGTCAGATCCCGGATTAAAACCTAGTTTGATAGATCATATATGGATTGTTCCGGTTTTAACAAAGTTGTTTCTCACTGAAACATAAGGACATAATTCTTCAGATTTTGTTTAGACAGCAAAATAGAAGTTTATAAACAAAAATAATGATAAAATGTAATAAAGGAAACTTGAAATTCAAATTCAAAGATTTTTTAAGACAGTAAAAGTGCAATCCCATTAAGCTGAAAATACTCCTTTATATATTGAAAACAAAAATAACAGATTCATTTTGTATCAGGGGTGCATTTTTGGTAAAATATAAAAGGTGTCATTTTTGTTTTCAATTTATGAAAGGAGTATTTTTGGCATAATGGGATTGCACTTTCGCTGTGTGTTTAAAAATCACTGAATTAGTGTTACCTAAACAGAATAGTATTTGCATCTGAATCCATCTGTAATTACTTCGTAGGTTTAAGTCACTTATGACTTTATCCTATAGACTGGAACCAGATAGAACTTCCTCCTGGAGCTATTATATATTAAATATACTCAGCTTTAAGTATCCTTTTCAGACTTTTATCCCAACATTTCTGGTCTATGTTTAACACCAACAGTTAATTTAGGTAATCTACTGGTGTTTGGAACAAGGGGGATCCTATTGACTATGAGTTCCTTGATTGGGGCTGTTAACCTGGGCCAATCAGGGAGCCCTGGCTAACCAATATAAACAGGAGATTCAGAATCTGCTCACTTCAGGAACTGAATCTGAGCTGGCCAGCTACAGCCAGTGTTGTGTGCACATGTAAATGAAGGGTGACTTGGTAATGGGATACTGGCCTCTGCAGAGTTATTTTATCTCGTTTCACTATATCCTTTACTTCTTAGAAGCATCGGTCTATCCAAACATCTTCATCAAAACACTTCACAGTACTGCCTAAAAGCACAGTAAGCCTGAAAAAAAACTCTTTCAACTATGGGTGTTTCCCACAAACATGAAATAAAAATTCCATAAATATCTAAGAACCTTTAAGGCCTTGCTGGGTCACAAAACAAACAAAATTCATTAGTACTGCACAAAAAACCCATTAATTCTAAAGCTATGCCTCAAAAATTATTTCAAACCAGATCACCATGGCTACAGAAATATTTACAAGCCAATAATTAACTTCAGACAGTCACTGAACCTACATGTTACTAACTCAAACACCCAAATTACAATAAATAATATTAAATATATATAGAAATTTCACAGTCTACATTACAATAGAAAATAACAAAGAATACCATATGATCAACACTGATGAACCAAATACACTCGTGACAAGAATTTTTCTTTCCCTGAAACTGGTGAGCTATGAGGTTAAAGAGCAAAGTCTCATTTAACATTGTTTTCATGACCCCATCTATTTGTAGATTGTAAGGACAGGAAAGCCCAAACTTGACCTCCCACAGTTCTCTGTGCTGAAGCACAAACACTACGAGCAATCAAAATGATTACAGTCTTCCAAAACAAGTATCAGGCAATAGCCATCTGTAAAATATGGGAATCTAACTGACTCCTCTTAATGAGCATTACCATTGCTGAATCCCCCACCATTAACAACTTCGTGGTCAACACAGATCAAACTCTTAACTGCGCCAGCCATTTAAATACAGTGGCAATGAAACCAGGTCAGAGATGAGAAATTTTTAATCCACCTCCCGAGCCCCCAAAGGCTGTCCACCATCCATAAAGCACAACTCAGGAGTGTGGCTGAATACTCTTAACTTGCCTGAAAGCCTGCAACGCCAACAACACTCAAGAAGCTCAACACCATCCTGGACGCTTGGATCTGTAGCCCATCCACCATCTTGAAAATTCAGTCCCTCCACCACTGACACACACTGGCAGCATGTATAAGATGCACTGCTGCAATCACTATGCCTCTTTGGCAACGCCTTCCAAACCATCAAGGAGGACAAGGGTAGCAGACAACCATAGGAACACTACCGGCAGCAGGTTCTTCTCCAAGCTACGTGATATTCTGACTTGGAACTATGTCACTGCTCTTTCACTCTGACGATCGAAAATGTAGAAATACCTTCCCAAAAGCATTGTGGATACATTTACACAGCTAATACTGCAGCAAATCAAAAAGGTTTCCCACCACCACCACCTTCTCAAACAAAACAAATGCCGGTCTTGTCAGAGAAGCTCACATTGCATGAAAGAATAACAAAAAAATGTCAAAATTACTGACTCAGATAAATAAAGATACTGTGTCATTACATTTTATACTAACAAAAAGCGGTGATGAAAATCATAGGCAGCACCCCTATTATTTCAAACTGATATGTATATCAATTTTAATGGCTGTTACAATTCCTTTCCAGTGAACTCAATAAAATATTTAAACCCCACCCCTCTGCTTTGTCTCAGACTCGGGAGTGACTTTTACCAGAAATCGGCTACACATCAGTTTTGGAGAATTTCGTGAAGGGTTTCTCTCTGTAAGCCTAGCAAGTTTTCTCACGCTATTCTCTGCAGCTTTGTCTCATTATGTATGCATATCATCTCTATGGTGTCCCACTTACACTATCTTTTGCTCAGCAATGGCGGATCCATTCACTGCTGCTGAGACCTCCCAGAATTCCTGGTGCCAGTGCTATTTTTAAAGCCCAGCTGAGAACAAGGTCAAGTGTTACCAGCTGGGAGTCGCACTGCACATAGTTGGAGGGGAATGAGAAATAAATGCTTCTGAGGGCACATAGGTGCCATGGCTGATACTTCATTGCAAACATTCATAAATATATATTTTTTTAAGAACCAAGCTAGACAGGTTACTTAACCAGAACCCTCTGTAAGGAAGTGCTACTCTTTCCCCAATACCCAGCATAGTATAACATTTTCTAGTTGCACAATGTGGAAGCATCATGTTAAAATCGCTTCTATTCAGCAATAGCAAAAACAAAGCAACAAACAACCAAACAGAAGCTGTATTTGCCTCTGCAAACAACAGAGACCATTTGCCTTCCAAGCGGCAACAAATTCACAGTCACTGAGTGATCAGTGCACCCAGCTCACATCTATTAGGACTGGGCGTCAATTAAATGTTCGGCTTCGTGCGCCTGTCACCGCATTAGCGGATCATATAGAGGGTGATGCTCCTCCTATTCAAAAATCCTGATTATCCTCCTCAGAAGATTGCAGCCATTTTTCTGGTCCTTCAAGGTTAATCAAAAACACTTCTAAATGCACAAACTGAGAATCAAGTGCAAATAATTTAATCTTCACTTCCCCAGCATTTGTACTCATCCTACCATAATCCTCTGTATTTATTGTACTTTGAATAGAAATAAAATCTCATGGTAACTTTTCATGATTAATATTAAAGCCCATCAACAGAACAGACTATAATTTAATATTGTGCAAATTTAATATTTTTCAGTCACCAAACAGTTTTACAGTACTCTCAAAGTTTTCAACAATAACTGCTAAAATAGAATTTTATTCCATACACACACCATTTTGGGAATAAAAGTAAAAAGTCAAAGTTCACCAAGATGGTACTTGAGTATTAGAACAGATTTTAAAATGAAGCTGCAATCGACCTTTTTGTGCCCAATGGGAAAAGTTTAAATTGCTTGAGATTTTTAATTATGCAAATTCCATATTCGGTGGGAGTGGAAATTACATGGTCGAGGAAAACTTGCAGTAGTGCGTTGAGCATTGCTTATACACTTGACCCAAATCTCTTTTCCATTATGTTTAATGCAGGATATATCATGTCACTGAGCCGTTGACCACCAGTTTCCCATTGCTGCTAAAAATGAAAGGGAGGATTTTTGTTTCAGGGATTGAGATCCTGACACAGAGATCGAGTGCAAGTCCCAAACAGTCACCAGTAGGTTCCCATCTTTCACTGCTCACGTTATAGACAT